CTCCCTCTCTCTCCCTCTCTCTCCCTCTGTCTCTCTCCCTCTCTCTCCCTCTGTCTCTCTCCCTCCCTCCCCGCTAAGACCTCCAGAGGGCAGCGACCCAGAGCTTGGGAGGTGCTGGGCCACACCTGTTGGATGCGGCTGGGACAGTGCCCCTCCCAGGTGGGCAGAGCCCGCTCCGCTCCGGCGGAACGAGACACGCACTCCAGGAGGCAGAGGGCAGCGCGGCTGGGCCGCGTGGAGGTCCCGCCGCCCCGCCCGCCCGCGGAACCGCCGAGTGTCGGCCGTCGCCGACCGCAGGCTGCAGAAGCGGTTGGGCTGGTGAGCGAGCACACCCACTTGCCCAGCTGCTGAGTCAGGCTGTTCTCGCTCGCGCCCGCCCGCCCGGGACATTGTGTTCCAGCCCCGGCGCGCTGGCAGCCGGCCCAGGCGCTCACACCAGCCTCCTCGCCCTGTTGGTGCTCGCGGCTTGAGATCTGTGCGCCGCGTCCCCGAGGTCGCGGCCCTCGGTCCCGCGGCCCCGAGCCTGGGGACGCGGGGGTCCCCTCAAGGCTGCGCACTCACCAGACTCGGGGCCCTTAGACCTCCGCTGGTCGCGGAGGCCCCGGCTTGGCGCCGTTGTGGGGGCAGGTGTGGGGGGCTCCGCTAGGGAGAAGCGACCCCTCGCCCAGGCTGCTGCCGACGAGGCTCCCAAACTCTCGGTGCAGGAGTCTGGAGGAGGCAAGCTGGGGACCCGCCAGTCGCAGACGGGCGCGCGGGGGGGGGGGGTTCAGTCACGTGGCAACGGAAGCCGCAGTTGAGGGGCCGACTCCAGCGGTCCCCAGGGAGCGTCTCCCCCCTCCCTGAACCTTCACTGAAGCCGGGGCGCGGAGACTCCAGGGGTTCCCAGCGCTGGCAACCCGAGCCAAGCCCTTTGGTACAGCTTGGGAAACCCCGGCAGAACGCTGGGAGCAGGGAGGGTCCAGACACTGGTAGGGTGGGGAAGGACGACCCCAGACTCCCTCCAGAGTCTGACCCTTCCCTTCGTATAGCCACAAACCCCGAGACTTATTCGGAGCCGAGATTTCTCCTGCCCATCCTTCCGCAGCGCTGGTCCTAAGGGTCCATGCCCTCCGAACTCCGAGGGGGACAAAGGCTTTACATGCCAGGGAAGGCTCTGTAGTGGGACGCGCTCCCCGAAAGCCTTGCTTCTCCGACCGGCCCAGCTTCCCATCTGCCGCCACATCCCCGCCAGGAGCGCCCTCCTCCGTGCCTGGCCGCCTGTCCAGCTCCTGTTCACCAAGCGCCCTTGAAACAGGGCCAGCCGAATCGGATTCCTCTCTCCTCCCAGGCCCAGCACAATCAGTTTGTACCTTTCCCACGCACAGTGTGTGCCCTGTCTCCTATTCTAGCTGTCTGTTTACTAGTCTTGTCCTAGCCAGATTAGAAGGTCCTTGAGGCAGAAACAAAGTCTGCTGCTTCTTTGAGGCCTCTTCCCTGCCCCTCCAATTCATCTCACCCAGGCCGCGCCTGGCACCCGAGCTGATGTTCAATAAATATTGGGTGTATTGAAATGATTTCCTGCCCTCTGGTAGTTGTCAGGCCAGTTGCAGAGACAAACACAGGGTGTGTGGGGTTAAATAATAACCGAAGCCAGCAGGTGGGGAGTATCAAATGTGGGTGACAAGGGCCGAGGATTTAGCTCAGTGGTTCTGGCGCCTGCCTTGAAAGCACAAGGTCCCGAGTTTGATCCCCGGTACCAAACAAACAAAATAATAAGTATGCAAGTTCCCTGACTATTGGCATGGAAAAATAATTTTGGGGCCAGGGATTTAGCTCAGTGGTTTCGCCGCCTGCTGCACAAGTACAAGAACCCGAGTTTGATCCCCAGCACCACCCCCCCAAACTGTGGGTGACAGCTATGGGGACTCAGAGGGAAGGAGGTGGTGATTGGGGAGCAAGTTCCCAGGAGGTTCTAGGTCTTGAGCTGACTGTGTAGGAGGATGGGGAGGGGCCGGGTGGAGGTGACTCATGGGGGTTGACATCACCACAAAACAGCCTTCCTGCTGGGTACTTTACATGCATTATCTCTGATATTTGGGGCGGGAGGTTTGAGAGGGGGGCAGGGGACAGTGGCCAAGCCTGGCCCACCCAGAGGCAACCAGAGCACAGGGGACAGCCTTGAATGTCCCTGGGCACTGGCACTGCCTGTTCCCTGGCCCGCCACTCCTACCTGCCACACCCAAGAGGGCCCAGCTCTGCCCAGTTCTGGATGCACTGCGGTCCCACCCTGGCTAACAACTGGCCCGTGTGACCTCGGGCAAGGCACTTCCTCGTCCTCACCGGTACAGGCTGTGACTCTGGGCATCAGTGTGAGGCTTGGCACCTCCCCGGATAGTACCTGGGCTGGTGCAACTGCCTGCCCTCTCCACACACCCTCTGTGTCCTCCCAGCCTAGAGCCCCCGAGAGGAACACTGGGTACAGAGTGTGAACAGGGATGGCTTCCTGTGGTTGCAGAGGGAGCAGCGGGACTTTCCCTGCAGTGCCTGGGCTGGGGGAGAAGAGGGCCAACCTCCAAGGAACCTCTGCTCTCTTCCCTCCCTCCTCGGTGCTCCCAGCCCTCTAAAAGGCTGGTACAGTTTGTTACGCTGGGGCCGGAATGTACCGTGTTTCATATGGCCTCTGTCCAGTCCTACACTGGCCGCTTTATATTTATACTTCCTGCTCCAGCTGTGGCATCCTGCTGTCAGTCACCCCTGCTCTCATCTGCCCACCTCCTGAACGCCCCCAGCAGATTATGAAGTGAGTCTCTGTCCCCACAGTCCCTGTGGGAGGAAGGGGGTGCAGAGAGAGCCCCAGAGGGGAGAAGGTGGATTCCAGAAAGAGAAGGCCCCAGTTCCCTTTCTTTCTCCCATCACAGGAGTCTGCAGCCTGGGACTGAAGTTTCTCTGGACCTAGGAGGTTGGTCCTTGTCTCCTTGCTACCTTGTTTGCCCAGCACTTGAGCAATACTCCTGAGCCCAGCGAGACCAGCGAAGGCTCCTCCTTGGAAGCCACCTCCAGGAGCTGGGCAGAGCAGGTCATCCGTGATTTTCCTCCTCAGTCCCAGGGAACAGGGCAGAGGTGGGGGCCTAGCGAGGGGCAGGGAACTCCCCACCTACCCACTCCCAGGAGTCACTCACTCCTAACAGGAGCTGCAGATGGATTTTGACACTTGGTGATTTCTTAGGGGTGTCCTGAGTTGTGATCAGTTTCATCTTTGGGTCTGGCCTTGCTCCCACAGGAAGCAGGTGATAGCGTTACTGAAGCCCAGAGACTCACAAAGACCCAGCAGTGGAGCTGGGTGGCCAGGCCCGATGGCTATGGGCTCTTTTGACTCTTGGCCAGCTGGCCCACCCACCGCCCTTCACCCTTCTCCCAGGGATAAATCACCTCCTGTTGCATCAGCCCCAATCCAAAACCAGGAACCGAGCCTGGGTTCCGGGGCTGTGGCGTCAGCTCCATCTGTGGCACCCAGTGACACAGCAGTGACGTGGCCCCTTTCAGGACTCTCCACAGCAGGCTTTGAGAACAGTCAACCCTAGGTTAATTACCTGTCCTGCCTCATTATGAGCTTAGTGCCCCTCTGGGGACAGCACCCCTCCCCTGCTGGGAGAACGGAGCCAAGGGCAAGAAGTAGGGCTGGTGACTGCCCTCTGGCCAGAGAGGAAAAATTTCCCAAGGTGCCCCTGAACCTGGTGACAGTGGCCTTTCACCCGGCCTGTCTCCTCTGGGGGATCAGGCTCCTCCACCCCAGACACCCCGTGTTTACTCACCCCCATCCTGGTCTCAGCTTCCTGTCCTCTGTGGCCCTTCTGGTACACCATGTCCCCTCCGAGCTGCTGCTGCTTCCTGTGAGTTCTTTCTTCTTCCTCTTTTATCCTTCCTTCTCTCTCTCTCTCCTCACTGCCTCAGAGTTCTGTTTATATGCCGCCACCCATCTGTGTTTACTTTTATTTTTGTTTTTTGTATTCCCAGTCCCCTGAAAAGTTCCCAGTGTCCCTCTGCCTTCTTTCCTGACACCATCTTGTTTCTGAGGAAGAACCTTCCATCCCCACCTTCCCCTCGTGCCTCACCTTGCCCCATGCCTCTGCCCACCAGACCCTCCGTGTGTGAGTTCAGTGGGCACTTATTCAGCACCTACTGTGTGCCTCAGGAATTATGTTAATTGAATGCCTTGGCACCTAAATCCAAAAGCTGTGCCTCAGCATTTATTAGGGCCCACTGTGTATCAGGCATTGGGCTTCAACCTAAGGGTGTAAAACCTGGAAGCAGATCAGGATGGCTCTTTTGGAAGTTGGGGACTGGGTGTGGCCCCAACAGAGGGTTCCGGGGGGCCTCCTCTGAGGTCTGCAGGGAGTTAGGCACACTGAAGGTTCAGGGTGTTCCGAGTAGAAGGAGCTGTGTATATAAAGGCACAGAGGTGTGAGACAGCCCCTGCTCCCCAGCGGGTACTGGGAGTTGTTTAGTCTGGCTGGACATGGAGTCCAGGTTGGAGAGCCGGGGGAGAGGAGGGCAGAGGCAAGCAGGCCCAGATGGTGCAGTACTTCGTGTTCCAGCAAGGGGTTGACCTTTATCCTGCAGCAGCCGGAAGCCCAGGCAGCCTCATGGCTCCCTGCAGCCAGGAGCTTTGGGGCTGGTCGTGGGCCAGGCCCGAAGTGTTCTCCAAGCCTCCATTAACACGCATTTACTGCCCTTTGGCTTGGGGAGGCCTGTGGGAGAGGCAGTCACTTAAATCTAATACTGCTTCCAAAGCTCGGTCATTCATTCATTCGGAAGTGTTTAGCAAGCTCTGATATTTGCCAGGTGCTGCTCCAAGAGCTGAGTCCAGGCAGCGAGCTCTGGGGGAAGGTCCCGGTGCTCAAGAAACACACATCCTTGCTGGGGACAGGCTATAAACAAAAAGATGAAACAAATTAGCAAGATAATTTCAGATCATGCTCAGTGCAAAGGAGAAAATAAAAGAGTGGCAGAAAAGGCTGCTCAGGGAAGCTGAGGCCTAGAAGACACCAGCAGCGCCCCCCCCCCGCCCCCGTGACCATCTGGAGGCTGAGGGTTCCAGGCATAAGAAACAGCACATGCAAAGGCCCTGAGGCATGGAGCAGCTTGGGGTTTTTTAGGTTAAAAGAAAGGCAGTACAAATCCAGTACTCTCTGGCAATGCTATACAAGAATTATCAGAGCCCATTTTGTAGAGATGGTAACTGAGGCTTGAAATGGTTAAGTTCCTTGGCCAGAAACCAACACTGGCAGTGTCAGTGTTGGCTCTAAAGCCACTGCTCATTTTTCTACCAAAGTATGAAGTAGTATAGCAACTATATGCCCTGAATTCTCTAAAAGTCTGACTCACCATCCCCTAGACAGTCGTCTTGGATATGCTCTGTGTTCCAAATCAGGACTCCAAATCAAGTCCTGTGCTTGTCATGAACTACCACTGGGACCCTAGACTAACAACCACTTTGTACCATCATAAGCTTCAGTTTGACCGGGCGAGGTGGTGAACGGCTGTCATCCCAGCGCAGGGGAGGCTGACTGAAGGACCGCCTGGCGTTCCGGGCCAGCCTGGGCTGCATAGTCAGTTCAGGGCCAGCCCAGACTATACATAGTGAGACCTTGTCTCAGAAAACAAACAAAAAGCCCCAGGTTCCTAGTCTGCAAACAGGGAGAGGCATAGATCCCATAACATCCACTTGCTGGGGCAGGGTGAGATGAGGTTGTGTGCCTAGAACATGGTGCACATTCAACTAATAGTTCTTGTCCCCTTAGAGGCCAGCTGCAGGATGTTCCTGCTCCCAAGCTGCCAGGGACCAAGACAAGCAGGGAGAAGAGAACACGCAGGGACTTGGAGGTAGGAGACAGCCCAGGAACTGCGGAGGAGAGAGCTTGACGTCTCCACCACAAGGACCTCTTCCCTTCACCCCGCCTCTCTCGGCTCTGCTGGGACCCCACACTGACACATCTTGTACTTCCCGTTTCCAGGGAAATTCCTCCGGCCGTTGGGCCACACCCGCCCTAGAGGACCTCCCGAGCTCTTCTGGCAGAGCGGAAGCCAGACCCAGACAGGGACGCTGAAGTGACAATCCCCAGCCCTGTGTGGGCCAGGAGCCCCTGAGGGGGAGGGGCCACGGTGCTCTCCCCACCCCAGAGCCAGGCGTGGGTTGCAACAGAGGCTTCTCCAGGGAGGTGAGGACCCCGCGCGCGCGCTGTACGTGGCTCTTGTTAGCAGGACAGAGACCCCTCCCCAGGTCCCCAGCCGGCCCCAGCTTCCTGTTCTGGCTGCTGGGAGGCCCTGAGCCCACACACGCCCCTCCCAGGGACCCTCCCAGCCGACCAGCTGCAGCCCAGGGGTGCACGGAGCCCGCTCCCTCTCAGATCCCCAGCTTCCCCTCCACCCCATTCTTGGCCCCCAACTGCTGAGCTCTTTGGAGGTTTCAAGCAAAACAGCTCTGCCTGTCCTTCCTGCTGCTCAGTGGCAGCTGGCAGAGCGCGGTGTGTCTTTTAGCAGGGATGCCAGGAAAGCGCATTTCTCTTCTAGTCTCAGTGGGGACAGCCCCCAGCCCCAGCCAAGACTCACCTGGGGAGCCCGGTTCGAAATCCACCCTCAGAAAGGGGAAGCTGGTGTGTTTTCTGTTCCTTCAACTCACCAAGACATGGCCAAGTGTGATGGTACATGCCTGTGATCTCAGCACTCTGGGAGGCTGAGGCAGAAGGATGGCAAGTTTTGAGCCCACACTGGGCAGTTTAGTGACTTAGCAAGACCCTGTCTAAAAATTAAAAAAAAAAAAAAAAAATTTTTTTTTTTTTTGAGACAGAGTCTCACTCTATAACTCAGGCTGGCCTTGAACTCACTATGTAGCCCAGGCTGGGCTCAAACTCAGGCAATCCTCCTGTCTCAGCTTCCTAAGTGCTAAAATTACAGGCATCCTCCACCATGCCCAGCCTCAAAAAAAAAAAAAACTTTTTTATAAAAAGGGGTAGGGGCTCAGAGATTTAGCTCAGTGGTTACGCTGCCTGCCCCGTGGGCACAAGGACCTAAGTTCAATCCCTGGTACCAAAAAAATAAATTAATTAATCTTTAAAAATAAAAAAGGGATAGGAGGCCGGGGACTTAGCTCAGTGGTTCCGGCGCCTGCCTGGCAAGCACAAGGTCCCGAGTTTGATCCCCAAAAAAGGACAGGGATGTAGCTCAGTATGAAGGCCTTGAGTTCAATCCCAGTACCGGGGTGAGGGTGAGGGAGTCAGAGTCAAGCTTGGGATTGCACTGATGGAAAATTCTGGGTTCCCAAACTCTGTGGACTCCATCTGATCCATGCTCTCTGTCTCCCCACAAATCCAGGGACCAAGAAGCATGGTGTCTAGAGGCGGGGTGCTGGGACTGTGTGTGGTGGGGTCCCAGGAGAGCTGTTTGGTTATCGCCAGGCACTGCGGACTGCATGAAGTGCTTACACTGTGGGGGTGTTTCAGGGGTACCGGCTTTGTAATCCATAAGCTGAGCATGCCTGTTCTGTGTATTTCTGTATGTGTATCATTTGCATTGCTACCAGTTCTTTATTCAGGTATAATCGAAATACATTTTGTACACAGTCAAATGAACAAATCCTTTGTGTGTGTGCTTGGTGGTCCTGGAGATTGAACCCAGGCCCTTTGATCTGAAATACATCTCCAGCTCTTCTTCTTCTTTTTTTTTTTGTACCAGGGATCAAGCTTGGGTCCTTGCGCTTTCGGGGCAGGTGGTAGAACCACTGAGCTAAATCCCCGGCCCTTTCTAGCTCTTCTTTATTCTTTCGAGACAGAGTCTTGCTATGTTGCCCAGGCTGGGCTTGAACTTTCATCAAATGCACAAATATTAAGTACACAACATGACGACTTTTGACAAATCTATATAACCATCATCTAGGTGAAGATTCCGCACATTTTCATCACCCTAGAGCTCCCTCATGCTTCCTGCAAGTCAGCCTATACCCCAGAAGTGACCATGATTCTGATTTCTATCACCACAGATTAGTTTCATAGGATTACAGGCACACATGTATTTTATAAGTTAGAAATACAGCTCCTATCATAGAAGAGGGACGTCATGGTAAAATTCTTAATGTGAAAAGCGTGCCTCAATAAAGGAGGGTTATCTGAACTTGCAAAAACTCCCAGTTGAGTGTGGTGCACCACTGTAATCCCAGCACCCTGGGAGGCTGAGGCAGGAGGACTGCAAGTTGGATCCCAGCTGAGGCCACTTGGTGGCTTAGAGAGATCTTATCTCAAAATAGAAAAGGACTGGGGGTTGTAGCTCAGGGTGAAGGTCCTGGGTTCAGGCATCAGTATGGCAGGGGGGAAAAATGGAATTGTCAGCCAGGGAAACAGGAGTTTTGGGGTCCAGCCTGATCTTAGTGCTGTGAGATCAGAGGTTACACTTCCTGGAGTAGAGAGGCTGTGGATGCAGCAGGCGTGAGGGAGCCAGGCGGGCTCCCTCTGCTCCTGATAAGAGGTCCTCACCCTCCTCCTCCCGCACCACCTGCCACAGGTTTCCCCAAGGCCAAGGCCAGAGGAGGAGCACTCTGAAGGGCTTCTGCCCAGAGGCAGAGGTTATTTATCTTTCCTGGCCTGTCTTTCAGGATCTTCATGGTTCTGGGCTCCTTCACCCCCTGCCTGCCAGGGGAGGGGCTGGCAGAGGCTCCCAGCATGGAGAGGAGACACCAGCTCTGCCCATCTTCTTTCCAAAGTGGGCCCTTGAGCCCCTACGTAGTGCTGGGTGCAGACGGTGCCAGGGATACACCCTGGCTTCAGGGAAGGCAAAGCCTTCTACCTCCTTCCCAGGGGTGATGCGAACCCAGAGGGGTGGCTCATTCAGCAACCAACTGCTAGGGCTGTCGAAAGGAGGCAAAGCCCAGGGTGCAGCCCGTGCAGGGGATGAGAAAGTCACCTGAAGCAGACAGCCAGTGCCTCCTTGGCTTTCTGCTGCAGGCCCCCTGGGCAGTGGAGTGGGGAAGGTCTCAGAAGCACATCCGCTCTTCCCCTGAACATGAAGGAAGTCTCAAGAGGACCTCGAAGGCTACCATTAGCACTACCTCTGCCCAAAGTAGCCTGCATTTTCCTGCCTGAGGCCTTTGCTTAGGTCATTTCTGCCGTCTGGGGCGCCCCCTCCCTCCCACTTCCGTTTTCTGCTATTCCCCTCACTGTTTAAGACCTAATTCAAATGCTCCCCGGGGAGACCCCCACCCCATCCCCCACCTCCATCTTTGGGGATCAAGTGTCCACTGGCAGGGCAGACAGTCTCTCCCATTTTGTAGCCCTCTCACCCCAAGGCAAGGCCTTCCACAGGGAAGCAGGGGTCTCTGTTCTGCCCACCACTGTGGGCGCAGTTGAAGCGAATTCCCACGCCGGCCTCGAACTTGGCTGCCAGGGACTGCTCTCCCCCTTCCCCCGGCCCTCTGGGACAGGGTGCCTTCCTGCTGGGGTGCTCTGGGCAAAGATGGCCGCCCTGGGAAGGGACCCCAGGAAGGCTGAGAAGCATTGGTAGGGCCTGGGCCAGAAGGAGGGCTGCCCCACCTCTCCTTCTCATGGGTCTTCTCTCAAACCCTGGGCAGATCCCTCCCTCAGCAAATGCAGATCCGCTGCTCCACAGCCACACCCAAGCCCACTCCCACCTGCTGCCCACAAACAGCCCAGCCAGTTTGCAAAAATGCAACCCCTCTTCCCCTGCCCCTCCCCTGGGCAGGCATCACCCATGCATGTACAGTCATAGGAGGGACACCCACGGGCACACAGAGACATGCGGGCACAGGAGGGGCAGCCCAGACGTGGTCAGCCGTGCATACGCCACATGCCATGGCAGCCCCCCGAATATGGAGTTCATGCACACTGAGGAAGTGGTAGATCTGGGGCTGGCAGCAGCATCCCAGCCGGGTAGCCCCTTCAAAGGGAAGGTGACACGTCTCAGTTCCTCAGGGGACCATGGTAGCAGCCCAGAGGCCAGCCAGGGAGAGGGGTTCTGCTGTTGACACCATCATCCATCTCCAGGCTTGAGAGGAAGTTCAGCCCAAGCGGGAGCCAAGCCTGGGCCCAGCAGGGAGAGCTGCGGTGGGTACAGGACTGAGGAGGACACCACTGTGCGAAGACTGGCCTCCTCTCACCTGCCCCGTCCTGCACCCCCGGCCCGGAACTTTGTGCCTTCGCCCGCTGCACTCCTACCAGCACGGAATTCCGAGCCACACCGAGCTCCTCTCAGCCGGCCCCACCTGCGAGTCACGTTCCTGCCTCGCCACGCGGTTATCCCCTGGGCCTTTGTACCTGCTTTCCTGGCGCCGGGAATGCCCTTCCCCCATTGACCCAGCAAGGACCTTGTCACTTTCCAGGTGAGAGGCTTTTCTTGGTCTCGATGTGCGCACATTTTATAGTAGTGCTTACAGTAATGACTAAAAGCCAACATTCTGCAGGCACACCACATGCTGTTCCGACTGCTCTGTGTGTGTGTGTGTGTGTGTGTGTGTGTGCGCGCGCGCGTGTGCACCCATTACATTTTTGTCAGCTTATTTAACTGTCATAACAACCCTAATGGGCACTATTGTTATCATCTCCATCTGACAGAGAGGAAAATTGATACACCGAGAGTGGGGTTACCATTGACATAGGGGGACAGGTCAAGTAAGCCGGGTTTCCGCACAACCAGCTCAGTGGAAAGGTCTGGGTAGCTAACCACTGCACTGCACGGCCTCTAGCTGTTAGGAGCTTTTACCAATTTACATACCTCTGAGAAAGCAGCATCAGATAATGTCTGGTAACTGAGTGAATTCATAAAATGTAATAGAATAAAGAAGTAGGGCTTATCTTCGCTTGTGTAAGATATCTGCTATGTCAACACTATGTTTTTTTCCTAGAACATATAATATGTTAAAGAAAATAAAATTTGAGATTAAAATCCTATGTATCTTTTTGCTTTTTATGTGTAGTGGTGGTGGTGGTAGGGTACTAGGGATTGAACCCAGGACCTTTGCCCTGAGCTACATCCCCAGGCCCCTTTCTTTTTCCCAGTACCAGGCACTGAACTCAGGACCTTACACTTGCGAGGCAGGTGCGGCGCCACTGGGCTAAAACCCCAGCCTCCGGGCCCTTTTTTATTGTTTATTTTGAGACAGGTCTTGCTAAGTTGCCCAGGCTGGACTTGAACTTTCCATCCTCCTCCAGATGTGCACCACCCTGCCTGGCTCCACCTGCTCTCTTTCCCCTGCCCACGTATACCCAGTAAACTGAAACTGGACTCTTGGCAGGAGATTGGCTTTGCCCTGTGCCCACAGGGCCTGGCTGAGTGCTGCTGGGCGTGCACATGGCCCAGGGCCAGTTCAATGTGAGCGGAGCCAGGTGCTGATTTTAGGGCTGGGTCCTGGGGGTAGCGTGCAGCCCTGGTGTTGCCAAGATTGGGGAATGCATGACAGCATAGGAACAGCCCCACGGTCTCTGGAGCCAGGCTGGGACAGAATACAGAGTGGGCTTCTTGTGGTGAAGGGGCAGGTGGAGCAGGGACTGGCTCACAAAACAGAGCCTGGAGGCAACGTGATGGCCACACACATAGCCCTGGCTCCCCAGGAGGGATCTAAAAAGCTTGAAGATGGCCTGAGCCCAGGAGTTTAGAGCCAGCCTGGGCAACACAGTAAAATCCTGTCACAAAAAAACTAAACAAAACAAGGCAGGTGTGGTGGTGTATGTCCATAATCCCAGCACTATGGGAGGCTGAGGCAGGAGGCTTACAAGTTCAAGCCTATCCTGGGCAAGTTAGCCATTTAGTGAGATCCTATCTCAAAAAAAAAAAAAAAAAGAGCTGGGGATGTAGCTTAGTGTGAAGGCCCTAGGTTCAATGCCAGCCCTGGAAAACAAAACAGAGCCTGACTTTCTCCTGGAACCAGCGAGTGGCTCCTTAGCCAACCCTGAGGGCCTGGGGGATTCTCTTTGAACAAGCAGGTTCACCTTCCCTTTCCCCCCATCCTGTCCTTCTTACCTCTGGGTCTTTCTCCTAACACTCTCGGTCCAGATAGAGCCCTATCAAATGCAGATAAACATCTCTGTGGTGAGGGCTGAGGTGAGAGTCAGCCCAAATGTTGGAAATTCTGGACAACTTTGCTTTGCTCACTTTGGGGTAGGGACTAATGGTGGGGAAAGTGAGTAGAGAAGAAGCAGTGACAGCTACTGCAGCAAACATCTTTGTGTATATTGTTTTGCCAACATGTAGGAGTGCTGCAGAGCCATAGAAACCTAGAAGGTACTGGGTCAGGGAGTCTGTGGGCCTTAAAATTTAAGGAGTGAAGGCAGAGTGCACTGCATCGGCATGGAGTGGGTCAGGGAGAAAAGGAAGCAGCGTTCTGATCTGGCACGTGGGAAACCACAGTGACCAATGGGCCTTGCTGGGCCCCAGGTGTTGGTCCTTGAACTGCAGACTCTGCAAGCCTGAGAGACTTTCTACATGCTGCTGAGTTCAGTCAGCTATTTAATGAAAGACCAGAGCCAAGAATCCAGGTATATCATGGTAGATTTTAGTGGCAAGCAACAGAATCCTTTCTGACACCACTCAGCAGCAAGGGGGGGTTTCTTTCAAATTATTAGGTAAGTCCCAGAATCACTGGGGAGGATGAGAAACAGATTCCAGGCTCAGCTTCCACGGGCAATGCCTAAAATCATAATGACCAGATGACAGCTAGTACCATTGCTAATGATGCAAATTTGACATTAGTATAGTCACTCCTGCCCAGTGCCAAATTCTGCTTCAAGAACTTGACCCGAAGAATCCAGAATCTGCTGAGAAACCACCTCTATTCCCATTGTGACCACCAAGCCCCGTGCTGTGCCGTTCTGGATTGCAGTCTCCCTCGGGTGTGTGACTGGCTAAGTCACAGCTATGTTCTAACTGCAAGGGAGGCTGTGAATTTGGGTTCTGACTTCTAAGTCAAGGAGCAAAATGCAGGGGAATTTCCCCAAGTATAGAAAGGTCACTTAGAACTGGAACAATCTTCCTGTCAAGGACAACTACAGTGGGCCCTTGAGTTACGACCGGCCTGACATACAAACAACTTGGGTTATGACCGAAATTTTAGTTTTAACTTATAACCAAAGTCTTGAGTTACAACCTGAATGCCAGCCACTTGTGCTTCCAAATGGTCTCAGATACAGATGTAACCCTTAAATAGTTCTGGAAGGAACATGACAGCATCCTTTCCTGTGTGGGGTTAATGGAGAAATTCTGGGCCAGTGTCTCTCTAAGGACACTGAGATCTGCCTTTGTACAGGAGAGACACTTTGAAGGCTGTGTAGAGGAGCCTGAGCCTTCAATTGATCAACCTGAGTTACAACCAGCCCTCGGGAATGAATTGAGTTCGTAAGTCAAGGGTCTACCATACATATGCCAGGCAAATATTTTTATTTTTTATTTTTTTGGTACCGGGGATCAAACTCGGGACCTTGCGCTTGCCAGGCAGGCACCAGAACCACTGAGCTAAATCCCTAGCCCGAGGCAAATATTTTTAAATCT